GGGTTTCACCATGTTGACCAGGATGGTCTCGATCTCTTGACCTCGTGATCCACCCGCCTCGGCCTCCCAAAGTGCTGGGATTACAGGCTTGAGCCACCGCGCCCGGCTTAAAGCTGACTTTTAATTGTAACATGTTGATGGACTTGTTTTTAAAACACTTTTAAAATGACAGTGCACATAGTTGGCAATTCAGATCTTCAGTCTGTGCCACGTAGTAGGTGCTCAGAAAAAGATGTCCTTGAGAGTGAATTGCTGTGAGTGCTGTCTACTGCCTTGTGTTGCAGTATTCCCATGGCCTGGGACAGCCAAGAGCAGGGGACTGTGCTCTGTGAGCAGGCTTGGCTTTCACTGTGGCCCAGGCCCACCCCGTCTGCTCACGCACTGCTCTGTGTAAATGGTAGAAGTGCTGGGGATGAGAATGGGCGGGGTTTCCCTTGAGTAAGTGTACTGTAGGGAATGTGTCTGTGATCACAATTTTGGCTACCGAGTGCCTTTTTGATTTCCTTTCTCCTCCTGCTCTGCCGAAGGTACTGAGGCTAATGGAAAGCTGATGCTGGACAGATAGTTCTGTCTCGTCATGTATTTCATTCTTCAGCTGGGCTCGGTGGCTTACACCAGTAATCCCAGCACTTTGAGAGGCCAAGGCAGGTGGATTGCTTGAGCCCAGGAGTTTCGAGATCAGCCTGGGCAACATGGAGAAACCCCATCTCTATTAAAAATAGAAAAATTGGCTGGGGTTGGTGGTACATGCCTGTAGTCCCAGCTACTCGGGAGGCTGAGGTGGGAGGATCACCTGAACCTGGTACACAGAGGTTACATTGAGCTGAGATTGTGCCTCTGCATGACAGCCTGGGCCATAGTGCAAGACCCTGCCTCAAAAAAAAAAAAAAAAAAGCTGCTAGCGGGGGTGCTGCTGGGTGCCGTGGCTTGTGCCTGTAATCCTGGCACTTTGGGAGGCTGAGGTGGGCAACTCACTTGAGGCCAGGAGTTGGAGATCAGCTGGGCCAACATAACGAAACCCCATCTGTACTAAAAATATAAAAAATTAGCTGGGTGTGGTGGCGCATGTGTGTAATCCCAGCTACTCGGGAAGCTGTGGCAGGAGAATTGCGTGAACCCAGGAGATGGAGGTTTCAGTGAGCTGAGATAGCACCACTGCACTCCAGTCTGGGCAACAGAGCAAGACTCTGTCTGAAAAAGAAAAAAAAAAAGCAGAGGAATTTTCCACTCTGTTTAGACAGAGCAAGACTACTTCATGTTTGTATAGTCTTGATTTGTACACTGACGTTTGCAAGGAAGGTTTAATATTAATGAGGTTGGACAGAGTCGTTATCTTATTTTGAACAGTTTTGTTTTTTTTTGAGACGGAGTCTTGCTCTGTTGCCCAGGCTGGAGTGCAGTGGGCAGCTGCTCAGGCAGTCCGCCCACCTCGGCCTCCCTAAGTGCTAGGATTGCAGGCATGAGCCATCGTGCCCAGCCATCTTTTGAACAGTATTTTTTGTAAAAGCTTTATTGAGATATAATTCACATACCATACAGTGCACCTGTTTAATGTGCACTATCCACTGGTTTTTAGTATCTTCATGGAGTTGTACAACTATTACCACAATCAATTTCAGAATGATTTTATCACCTCAAAAAGAAACCCTGTACCCTTTAGCCATGACCTCCCGATCCCCACCACCACCACCATCCGCCCAGCCCTGGGCAACCAGTAATGTATCTTTTGTCTGGGTAGATTTGCCAGCTCCAGACATTCCATAGAAATTGAATCATATAATATGTGGTGAGTCTTGTGTGTGTGGTTTTACTTTTCATAACGTGTTTGAGGTTCATCCACGCTGTAGCAGGTGTCAGTGCTATATTCCTCTTGGTGGCAGAATAAAACACCTTTGTGTTAGGTAGGCCACATGATATGTGTCTGTTTAGCAGTTGATGGACTTGTGGAGTGTTTCCTGTTTTTGACTGCTATGAATGGTGCTGTTCTGAACACTCAGGTGTAAGTTTTATGTGCTTCTACCTTCATTTCTCTTGGGCGTGGACCTAGGAGTGGAGTTGCTGAGTCATATGGTACCTGCGTTTCACCCTCCGAGGAGCTGCCAGACCTTTTCCGTTTCCCATTCCCATCAGCAATCTGTGAGGGTTCCGGTTTCCCCACACCATTGCTAAGCCTTGTCACTGTCTGTTTTATTCTAGCCCTCCTAGTGCGTGTGAGGTGGGCTGTTGCTGTGGTTTTGATTTGCATTGCCCTGATGGTTAATGACATTGAACACTTTTCCTGAGCTTGTTGGCAATTTGTGTATCTCTGAAGAAATGTCTCTTCAGGTCCTTCACCCATTTTTAAATGGGGTTATTTGCCCTTTTGATTATTGAATTTAAGAGTTCTGTATATATTCTGGATGTATGATTCCAGACAGTTTTCTCTCAGGGGACCGTCTTGTCACCTTGATGAAGTACAAAGTTTTTAATTTTGTACAATGTATTTTTTTTTCTCTTATGTTTTGGTGTCATATCTAAGAATCTATTGCCAAATTCAAAGTCACAAAAATTTACACCTTTTTAGGATTTTAGTTCACTTTCGAGTTCACGTTTCTGTATGGTTTTGAGGTGTAGGGGTCTAGAGGCATTATCTTTGGATCTGCAAAGCAATCAAGCTTATTTTCTATTGGTTGTTTTTGTGACTTTTTAAAATTTCAGATATTGAGGAGATAAAATTGTAGATTTGAGCCTATCCTTAGCTGCACAGGAGTAGATTTTTAGTTTTTATGTTGTGATTTACTTATTTTTCAAACAGGGTCTCTGTCACCCAAGCTGGAGTGCAGTGGTGTGATCATGGCTCACTGCACCCTTGAGCTTCTGGGCTCAAACAGTTCCCCCACCTCAGCCTCCTGAGTAACAGGGACTACAGGTACACACAACCATGCCTGGCTAATTTTTTAGGCAGAGTTGTATAGATGCTTGCCGATTACACTAATAACTGCAGTAACGAGACTGTACCAAGCATCGTAGAAGTTAGGATTGCCAAAGGGAATTCGGGAGAGAGACAGGGTCAGGAAGCAGGTAGGAAATTCGTTAATCACTAGGAGGGCCAGCGAAGTGCCATCCCCTAGTTCCTAATCCAGGAGAAACTGCTCTACCTGAGACCGGCTTGTTCCCAGGGACAAAGGGATTTCATTTGTCAGTGTGTGGTGTCCAGTTGAGGCTGATGTGTGGTCCCAGGGAAGGGGTCATGTGCCTGGTTACCCTCTGGGGAACTGGAGTCTTGCTCCCTGCGCCGTAACCATATACGTGCCTTAGAATACAACCTACCTCTCGGCTCTCCAGCTGCCGCGCTCACGTCTTCATAGATGTCACCGTACTGGTTTTTTCTCCCAGCCATATCATGATCCTCTCAAGGAGTGCTTTTCTGATACTATTCTTGTAAAAAGCTCACAGTAACTATTTTGTTTTAATGTCATTAATTAGAATGAATAAAAAGCGAAATCTTATAAGAATTATAGCAAACAGTAAATGGGTACTAGCAATTGAGGCAGTAATTTCTGTTTGCATTAAAAAGAAACATCATGTGGTTAGAAATCTTTTATAACTTCTTTAGTTTCTCTGTGTTGAACTTTTTCATTAGTAAAATGCAGATCTTCCCATCCTCCTTTGAGATTTCATTACAAAACCTTGTGTTTGGGAGGATTTCTGACGTATTCTAAAAAGACTTCTACACAGCAGGATTTGCCCAGGGAACCGGTCAATAGACAGCCTTCTGAGCTAAAATACCCTTAATCTTTTTACAGACGGAATCATTCCCCAATGCCTGGAAATTCCTCGTTGGATTGCCGTGTTTTAAACAGAGTTTTGTGAACAGCCTTTTATCTCCAAGCAGAAAGAAAGGTACTTGTGTCTTGTGAACATCCTGACATTCTTTCTTGTGGATGGTAAGGGCAGAAATCCATCGACAGGAAACAGGGGAGGTTGCTGTTTCTCTGGATTTACTGGGAGAGAGAATTTTCTGGAAGGAAATTTCATTGTTTAAAAAACAAAGTCAGGTTTCTGTTGCATATGGCTTAGCGGAGACAGTTGCAGAAAACTCTGGAATTGAGGAACAGAATGCATTCCTGTCTTCCCTGAGGGGAAAATCTGGCCCCTTCCCCACCCCATGAAAGTGGGTGGGGGCCCCCAGGTGTGGGACTGTGAGGTTTGCAGTGCCCACCCCGCCCCCGGTGAAGCTGCCTTCTGGGAAGATGAGTGGAGACCGCTCTGCTAATCTTTCCTTGATGAGCCTGAAAAAGTCACAGGCAAAGACACCTGCCTTCTTTCACCTTTGACTTGGGGTGAAGGTTGACCTCGCCAGCCCTGCAGGGACTCCCGTCCGTCCTTTCCTACGGCCACTTCCTCAGGGGTTGGAAGCATAGGCAGCTGAAGTCCCACAGATGGGCAGCCCCTTGGCCCTGGCAGCATGGTGCCATGGGGCAACTGGAGACTTGAGCATACCATTTCTCTTTCCTGCAGCCTTTTCTTCACTTATAAATGGGCGCGTTGGGACTAGAGTGGTTGTGCCCTTGTGCCTTTCAGTTCTTTTTTTTCTTTTTGAGATGGAGTCTCACCCTGTCACCCAGACTGGAGTGCAGTGGTGCGATCTCAGCTAACTGCAACCTCCGCCCCCTAGGTTCAAGCGATTCTCCTGCCTTAGCCTCCCAAGTAGCTGGTACTACAGGTGCCCGCCACCATGCCAGGCTAATTTTTTTGTATTTTTAGTAGAAACGGGGTTTCACCATGTTGACCGGGCTAGTCTTGAACTCCTGACCTTGTGATTTGCCCACCTTGGCCTCCCAAAGTGCTGGGATTACAGGTGTGAGCCACTGCGCCGGGGCGTGCCTTTCAGTTCTAAGATTCTAGTTCATCTGTTCTCTAAAATCCTCTCAAAAGCAGATCTCTCTGCAAATTCTTGCTGTGCTTTGGGGCATCGACACGAGGTGCCAAGGGCATTGTTGGTCCTGCCCCACCCCTTGGCAGACGGTTCTTGCCCGAGAGACAAAGTTGCATTAGAAATTTAAGAGCACAGTGTCCAGATTGGCCCCTAACTGTCACTTTGGATTTGGACTTGAGACCCAGCCAGGCTGGAGGAGGAGGAGCCAGATGGGACATTCTCAGGCTGCAAAGGGCTTTTGTCCCGTCCTGATCCCCGGCACTGCGGTCCCAACATGGCGCCTGAGAAAAAGTGAATTGGGTTTCCTGGGTTCAGACTCCTGGCCACAGCTTCTGGTTGTTTGATTTAAAATAATCTCTCAGTTACTCACTCTGTGGCCTATGTGAAATTGTATTACTATTTCTGTGGAAAAGGAATCAGTTCTTTTAATACACAGTTTAAAAAAAAAAACCCTTAAAAGTTTAGATTTTACCACTGCAGTTACAAAAAGAATTATCTTGTTAGGGTTCACAGATGTGCCATTGTTCTCTGTGACAGAGGGAACCTTCCAGTGTTAAAGCGCTGAGGGAGGAAGGGACTGCCCACTTGCAGAGCGGCCTAATAGAGGGGAAGGTGGCATTTTATATTCCTGTTTCCTCCCAAGTAGAGGGTGAAGCAGTTCTCTAGGAAACCACTTGAAACCTTTATTGCACTGTCAGTCTGAATTAAGAAAATTATTGTTACAGTTTCAGTAAGCACTTGAAATCAAAATGGATGCTGTTTTTTAAATTATGATAAAAAATACACATACCATGAGATTGACCATTAGTAACATTTAGTGTATTTATAATATACAACCCAAAATGGTGCTTTTATTTTTGCTTAGAAACAGAGTCATCATGATTTAGCAGAACAGGCTTATGTTCTTAATAAATAAAGTAAGTGCACACCCGACTTTATTTTCCAGAAATTTTCTCACTTGAGTTGAAGCCAAAGAGTATTTCCAGTGTGTTTCTGACGCAGTTGACGGCAGTGTTAGAGCCCCCGAGGTGAAGTTTCTTTCACTCCTGTGGTTGTCATTGGGGCTTAGGGTTCATGAAGGATTGGCTGGTCCTGCAGCCTCGCCCTCCTGGGTTCCCTAGAATCTCGGTAGCTTTGTCCAAAGGGCTCAACTGCTGTGGATGGCGCCCCTGAGGCCTCCGTACCCTCCGTGGGCTGCTCTTTCAGATGTGGAAAGCTTCGGCCGGCCACGCTGTGTCCATCACCCAGGATGACGTGGGAGCCGACGACTGGGAGACCGACCCCGATTTTGTGGTAGGAGCCGCCAGCCTTTGCTTTCCTTTTTCAACAAGTGGAAGTGGCTCTCCTGGGTTTTTCTTTGACGGGGTGGTGGTTTGTCTGTGTCACAATCCAGGCTGTGGGGTTTACAGGCCATTTTTCTTTTCAGAATGATGTGAGTGAGAAGGAGCAACGATGGGGTGCCAAGACCGTGCAGGGCTCCGGGCACCAGGAGCACATCAAGTAAGAGTCATCGCCACCACCTCCTGAGGGCCCCTCTGTGGGGGGAGCCTGGGCGCAGCAGGGCCTTTAGCCTTGGTCGTCTGTGGAGGGACAGCCTGGGTGGAAACTGCTTTTGTCTTCTTGACCTGCTACCCATGCAGTAGATGAGTATAAGGCGCACACACATATACGTATATACATACCGTAGGTGTTTATATGTGTACATGTAGATACCTGTGTGCTCAGTAATTTTTAAATTCCCGTTGCAAACAGTTTTCGTACTTAGAATTTTAGAGCATCTGCTTTCAGTATTGTGGCTTTTATCAGGGAACACGTTTTCCCTAAGCCCTACCGTACAAGTGGGAGGTTTCTGAAGTATGGGGTGTCCGAATCACTTAGACCTTAAGTGTCCCTCCCTTTTTAATTCTCTGGACATGATCATGTGTTAGTAGTCAGGTACTGTGAGCTCAGTGTTTCTATCACAAGCCCAGGGTAGAGTCGGGAGCTGAGTGAACCCTGCCATTGTTTACCACTTAGCACTATCTAAAATGCCAGCTCTTGGGGCCGTTTTCTTCGTCAGGAAATGTAGATAAAAGGAACTTACAAAATGTGCTCAGACTTCTATTTTGGACCACGCTGGGTTCAGAGTGTATCCTCTTTTTCCCTGGCTGTGAAGGCATCACCACTGACCCGGTGACTGCCTCAGCACCCTGGGAAGACTGTCTGGCTTGGCCACGGGCCCTTCAGCTGAGAAAGATTCAGTCAGTCATCCAGAAAAGAAGGCACCGTCCACACAGTGGCTTCTTAAAAAGTTATTTATTTGTTGATTTTGAGATAGGATCTCACTCTGCCACCCAGGCTGGAGTGCAGTAAGCAATCACAGCTCACTGTGGCCTTGACTTCCTGGGTTCAAGCAGTCCTCTTGCCTCAGGGATCTCACTCTGTCACCCAGGCCGGAGTGCAGTAATGCAATCACAGCTCACTGCGGCCTTGACTTCCTGGGTTCAAGCAGTCCTCTTGCCTCAGCCTCCTGAGTAGCTGGAACCATGGGTATGTGCCACCATGGCCGGCTAAGTTCTTTTATTTCTTGTAAAGACGGGTTCTTGCTTTTGTTGCTCAGGCTGATCTTGAACTCGTGGGCTCAAGTGGTCTTCCTGCCTCAGCCTCCCAAAGTGCTGGGATCACGGGTGTGAGCCTCTGCACCTGGCCCACAATGGCATTTTTGTTGTTGTCAAGAGTTTCACTCTTGTCGCCCAGGCTGGAGTGCAGTGGTGCGATCTCAGCTCACTGCAACCTCCACCTCCCGGGTTCAAGTGATTCTCCTGCCTCAGCCTCCCGAGTAGCAGGGATTACAGGCGCCTATAACCACACCTGGCTAATTTTTTAATATTTTTAGTAGAGATGGTTTTTTTTTTTTTTTTTTTTTTTTTTTTGAGACGGAGTTTCACTCTTGTTGCCCAGGCTGGAGTACAATGCTGCAATCTCCACCTCCCGGGTTCAAGTGATTCTCCTGCCTCAGCCTCCCGAGTAGCAGGGATTACAGGCGCCTATAACCACACCTGGCTAATTTTTTAATATTTTTAGTAGAGACGGGGTTTCACCATGTTGACCAGGATGGTCTCGATCTCTTGACCTCGTGATCCACCCGCCTCGGCCTCCCAAAGTGCTGGGATTACAGGCGTGAGCCACCGCGCCCGGCTAGAGATGGCGTTTCACCGTGTTGGCTAGGCTGGTCTCGAACTCCTGAGCTCAGGTGATTCTCCTGCCTTGGCAAAAGTGCTGGGATTACAGGTGTGAGCCACTGCACCCAGCCACATTGGCTTTTTATACACAAGTTTTAGTCCTTCCTGGCTTGCTCAGCACACTGCCTTCCACAGGAGCAGCTTCAGAACTCCAAGGGCCATGTGGCTGTCCAGGATGAGAGACTGGAATGGGGCTGACTTAGGAGTCCACTGTGGCCTTGGGTATTTGCTGTGGGGGTTAGGCAGACGTCTGAATTCGTTGAGTCATCATACCTCTTCTCATCTCTTCTGTTCCCTGTGGCTTCAAAACGTGTCTTGGAGGGTGGCTTGGAGAAAAAACAGAACTGTCCAGTGCAAAAGCCTGTGGATTGGTTAGGATTCAGAGAGGAACGTGGGGAATAAGACCATGTTTCATGCTCTGGGGCCTTCCCAGGTTTTAGAAGTGCTGTCTTTCTTTCCCCTGCTCGTAAGGGTATTGGGTGGTTTCCAAGCCTGGTTTGTATTTCATCCTCAATTCTAGGATTATTGTCCACATGTCAGAGGTGGCAGCCTGGTGTCTCCTGGGCAGAAAGTCTGAATGCGAAAGTGGCCTTTGTATCACTGTGGGGTCTCACAATGACAGCTGTGTTTGGCCTGCCAGATTTTGACTGCATCTTTTGATCTGTTTCATTATCGGCTATATTAAAAATTTTTTAATGGTGTTTAGATGTTAAATTCAGAACCACTTTCCTCTCATCTTTGAATGTATGAAAAGCTGGAGTGCTTCAAGTAAAGACGAACCATCTCGATGTTCAGCACAGTGGACTTCTGCCAGTGGCTAGAGAAAGGGAGCTCAGCCTGTTTCCCCTCTACCTCTGGATGATTACAGACTAGCTTTCCTGTTTTCCCTGTGTGCAACAAAGCTCAGGTTTCAGAAGAGCCATCTTTAGCGGGGATTTGGGATGATCCCACTGTGCTCAGATTTGTGTTCCTTCTCCTACGGAGCATGCATCTCACACTGAGGGCTGCCGAAGTGGGTGTACCAGCCGGCAGGATAGTCAGGAAAGCGCGGTGCAGGGAGAGATCTGGCGAACGAGCCGATTTCCAAATTTACAAAGACAGTGTTACCTGTTCTTATTTATCATATCAGGAGGCAAAGATGCACATCTGTTTTATTGATTTGTTCCTGTTTTCCTCTTTCTTCCTTCAAGCATACACAAGCTGAGAGAGAATGTTTTTCAAGAACATCAGACCCTTAAGGAGAAGGAACTTGAAACAGGACCAAAAGCCTCCCACGGCTACGGAGGGAAATTTGGCGTGGAGCAGGACCGAATGGACAAGGTGAGTGGCCAGCGGCCGCCTGTGCCGCCTCCTTGTGTGCTCGAACCACGTGTCTGGTTGGCAAAGCCGTCCCTCAGACTCCTTCCATCCGCAGTTTTGAGTCCGTCTGCTGAGGTTGAAATTCACCCTGAGGTGCCCCTGTGGATTGGACAGAGAGGCCAAGAGGGAGATGGGTCCCCAGAGGCGGCTTTATGATCAGGACAAAAGTCCAGAAGCATGCTGTCTCCAGGTGTTGTCATTATCAACGCCTGTGGTTCCAGCTTGCAGCCTAAGTCATGCCGATCCAAAGACCAAAATCAAATCGTAGGCTCCTGTGGTTGATGACACACATGGACATTCAGCTGAAGGCCTGGCTAACGTCCTTCATGCGTTTAGTGGCCTTCAGAGCAGTCTGTCCGTCATATCAGGTCAGCGCCCATGAGGCTGGGGAAGGAGCTCACTGTTGGAGAGGTGTGGGTGAGCCTCCCGGGAGCCATCGTGGACGGATGCAGACCGCCGTGCTGACGTGGATCGAGGACATCCGGCTCCACCTGTACTTGAGGTCCTCTCTACCCTATGAGAGGGAGCAACGTTAGCTCAGGAGGGCTACCTTTTCCTTCCTGGAGAGAAGGTGGAAGAGACTGCAGTGTGTGTGCATGTTTCTTCAGGAAACAGGGCTCTACATTCTGCAGACACCCTGGAGGTGAACTTTTGAGTCTGAGCAACGTAAGATTGTTGTGCCTGACGAATGTTTGCCTTTACTCTGTGGAAAGAAGTATGTCAGCCGGTGTTGGGTTCCAGTTGGTAATTCCTTTCCTCTCCCACCTGGTGTACTGGTCAGATAAACATTTTGAGCTGGGCACGGCATGACCTTGCTGTGTCACAGTGAGCTGCACCTTGCTCTGTCCCCTGCAGAGCAGATGATGTGGGGGGCCGGCAGGGCACCCAGACCACGACCGTAAATAGCCTGGGGGAAGAGTGGGGTGGGGGCCGTCTGCAGGAAAGAGACATGGATGTTGCTGTGTCACTACCACAGAGATGCCCTGACACCGGGAAGAGCAGCGTGTGCAGAATACTTATCTTTGAAGTTAAAAAAAAAAAAAAAAAAAAAAGTCTGGTAGCTTTTAGGAGTGCAGACGGACAGACAGACCGGTGTTCCATGCAGTCAGCGAAGCACTGGATGGAGAGACAGATCCCATGTGTTCAGTGCAGTGAGCCAAGCAAGTAGATAGAAGCCTTTTTTCTACCTACTTGGGGCTTGTGGGGAGTTAGCACAGAGAGAAATTTATTCTAAAAATGGGGATCCCTGCTTTGGGTTGGGAAAATTACACATTGCGGGAGGGAAAGGAGATGTGTCAAGGGGGAGCCTGGTGGGGAAGCTGCTGTGGTTGGCTTCTCTGCTGCTGCTTGGACTGTACCGATTTTCATCCCAAGTCTCGCTGACCCTGGAACCTGCAGCTCAGGCCCTCTCGGGTGCCAGGAGCTCTCTGGAAGAGCCCTCGCTTCCCCATCCCCTGTGCGCTCTCCACGGCAGCCCCTGCTTCCCTCGTCAATTGTCCTTCCCAGTGAGACTCCCCTCTGGGCTGGGTTTTTCAAGGATTGGTACTTGTCATCCTCACCCCGTGCCTGGCCCAGCGCACGAGCCCCACCTCTTAGGCCAATGCCCTGGTGAAGCCCAGGAGGCTTGTGGAGCCGCGCGCTCACCTGTCGGCCAGTACACTGGAGAGCTGTCCCGGCAGGGCAAGGCCAGCACGGGCGCTGCTGCTGCTTGGTCCTGGCTGGCATCTGGGCAAGGTTAGCTCCCAGCTCAGGTGAGCACCACGGGGTAGATCTATTGTCAAAAATAACTCAGGGCCAGCTACCGGGACTCACACCTGTAATCATAGCATCTTGGGAGGCCAAGGCAGGAGGATTGCATGAGCCCAGGAGTTTGAGACCAGCCTGGGCAACATAGCAAGACCCTGTCTCTACAAAAAAATAATTAATTGGGCATGGTGGTGCACACCTGTAGTCCCAGTGGCTTTGGAGGCTAAGGCAGGAGGATCACTTGAGCCTGGGAGATGGAGGCTACAGTGACTTACGATTGCACCACTGTGGTCCAGCCTTTGCAACAGAGAGAGACTCTGCCTCAGGAGATAAATAGATTAAACTCAGATTCCAAACTGAAGGGGAAATGGCTTAAGTTATTTGTAACTTGCCCACTCCAGAAGTTGAAAAAAAATAAAAAATGGAAATCTCTGTGTTAAGACCTGAGAAATAAGTGCTGGAGACTTCCAGGAAAAAAAGAACACATTGAGGACAAGCACACCTGGCGAGGGCTGTTGGGATTCTGTTTACACTGGGGCTTCAGTTCGCTGCACCCTCCCCTTGGGGACAGCGGTGTCTGCGTCCATCACGCACTGCCCTCTTCCCTTGGGGCCGGCAGTGTCTGCGTCCATCACGCACTGCCCTCTTCCCTTGGGGCCGGCGGTG